CCCCAAAACCCCAAAACCCCAAAACCCCAAAACCCCGAAAAATTGACCCAAGATTGAACTTGTAATTAGTGTTTAAATATTTATAATATATAAATGACTGACAAGTACGAGAGAGATCGGCAATATCAGTACACAGCTAATGCTAGCAAAGTAGTACAGAGAGAATCTGCAGGACCAATTCAGAACTTACCTTCTGGAGAATCAGAAACCTTAAGAGGTAGGAAGCTAAGGCCCATGGGTGACCTTGTATCCAAAGAAGAGAATCCAGACCTCAAGAAGATGAAAGAGAAGGTTGAGGAGAAGAAAAAGAATAAATAAAACCAAGAAGCCTAAAATTGAGACATTAACGAAGGAAGTTAACAAGGATATCTTCAATGCTGAAATCCAGGAGGAGCTCTTCTACAGGCCAAAGAAGAAAGAAACAAGGGATATCTACGCGAATATCTTAAAGACAGTGCAATACCATGTGGGAGACCAGTCTGAACAAACACTCATGGGGGTAGCAGATGAAGTACTGGCCATCCTAAAGACGGACAATATGAAAGATGGTGATAGGAAGAAAGAAATCGAGGTCTTCTTCCAAGAAAAGGTCACTGACCAAACCTTCAATACTTTGACAGTGCTAGCATCCAAGATCACTGATTATGATCCAGATGAGAGGCTTAATGCTGGAAATGGTGAAGAAAGACTCGAAATTGATGTAGATATTGAAAAAGAAGGAGAATCATCCTCCGACGAAGATGGAGATATGTATGTCAAAGATCCTGAAATTGAAGAAGAGAAAATAGACACTGGAAAAGGCAAAGACGATGATGACAACATGAGCAATGAAGGAGAGAAGGTCCTTCAGGTTAGCAAAGCTGATGCCAAATGGATCGAGACTCAGCTTCAAGGATATATCAAAAATCAGAGCAAAGCTAAGGAACTCTTCAAAATATTAGATGTAGAGAAACCTGAAGAGTGAGCTAAGAGAGTAGAAGAGATCATCAAATATTATGATGGGCTAAAGTATATCTCCTCTCTAGATATCTCAGAAGTTGAACAATCCAAAAGAATTCAGAAGACTAAGGAAGATTTGAACAAGAATGAAGACTGCAAATTGGTCGTAGAAGGACTTGATGGAGAATCAGAACAACTCTCTTTTGCCTTTAAGAGAGTTCTGAGGAAGCTTAAGAACCAAAAAGATATTGAAGTATTTGAAACTGAGGGGTATAACATTGTGGATGAGCAAGAAATCAGACTTGATTTTAAAGATCTTAATGTTATTACAGAAGAAAGTATTGCCAAAAAGAGTAGGAATATGCTTGATCTCGATAAACTCAAATTTGAAGAAGGCGGCCATTTGATGTCAAACACTAAATGGGCTCCACCTAAAGGAGCATACAAGGTAGAGAACAAAGGTTACGAAGAGGTGTACATCCCTGCTATGACACATAAACCAAGTGCAGATGAGAGGTTGATCCCTATCACAGATCTTCCACAATGGACACATCAAAGTTTCCCTAGTTATGCAAAGAATCTTAACAGGATTCAGTCCAAGGTGTATAAATCTGCTTTCAAAAGCAGTGACAACTTATTAATATGCGCTCCTACAGGTGCTGGAAAGACAAATATTGCAATGCTGACCATCCTTCACACAATGGGGATGTATAGAAGACGTAATGGTACATTCAACACAAAGGCATTTAAGATAATCTATATTGCACCAATGAAGGCTCTGGTTAGTGAAGTTGTGGGAAATTTCAGTAATAGACTCCATTCTTACGGGATCGAAGTGAAGGAGCTCACTGGAGATGCGCAGCTGACCAAGCATCAAATTGAAGAAACTCAAATTATAGTAACAACTCCTGAGAAATGGGATATTGTCACAAGAAAAGCAGGAGATAGAGCTTATGTGGAGCTAGTAAAATTAGTCATTATTGATGAGATTCACTTACTTCATGACTCAAGAGGACCAGTTTTAGAAAGTGTTGTTGCAAGGACTATTAGGAAGGTTGAAGAAGGAAGTGAGCATGTTAGGATTGTGGGACTATCAGCCACATTCCCTAACTTTAAGGATGTCGCTGCTATTTTGAGAGTCCAGCCTAATAAGGGTCTCTATCATTTTGACAATTCTTTCAGGCCAGTTCCACTAGAACAAATCTATGTAGGAATCACTGAGAAGAAAGGAATCAAGAGATTGTTACTCTCTAATGAAATTTGTTATGAAAAAGTAATGGAGAGAGCAGGAAAGCACCCAATTCTTATATTCGTTCATTCAAGAAAAGAAACTGTAAAAACCGCGAAAATGATCAGAGATATGGCTTTGAATAAAGATGAACTTTACAAATTAATCAAAGACGATTCAGCTACTAAAGAAATCTTGAAGACTGAGGCTGAGAGTTGTATCAACATCGATCTTAAAGACCTTTTACAATTTGGTATTGGTATCCATCATGCTGGTCTCGCAAAGAGAGATAGGAGCACTGTAGAAGATCTATTTGCTGGAAAACATATTGAATTACTTGTATCAACTGCAACATTGGCATGGGGAGTTAATCTTCCAGCCCATTCAGTTATTATCAAAGGAACTCAAATCTACAATCCTGAAAAAGGAAGATGGACAGAGCTATCCCCTCAAGACATTCTTCAGATGCTTGGTAGAGCAGGAAGGCCTCAGTATGATAAAACAGGAGAAGGTATAATCATTACTTCTCATCAGGAGATTCAGTATTATCTTTCCCTGAACAACATGAAGTTGCCTATTGAGTCTCAATTTATCTCACAACTACCTGATCAGTTAAATGCTGAAATTGTCATGGGTACTGTCACCAACATCAGAGATGCTTGTATCTGGTTGAATTACACCTATCTTTATGTGAGAATGCTGCAGTCTCCACAAGTGTACGGACTCGAAGAAGATGCTTTGGAAAAGGACCCATTTTTGCTCCAAAGAAGAACAGATTTGGTCCACACAGCAGCTACTCTTCTCGATAGAGCTGGGTTGATCAAATATGATAAGCGTACAGGTACCTTCCAAAGCTTGCCAATTGGAAAGGTCGCATCTCACTATTACATTAAGTACGAATCTATGGGTGTGTATAACAAGCACCTAAAGCCGACTATGGGAATGATAGATATCTTCAGAATCTTCTCTTTATCCAATGAATTTGCTGCAATTCCAGTCAGAGAGAACGAGAAGATCGAGTTGAACAAATTTATTGAAAAAGTACCTATCCCAGTGAAAGGGTCTATCGACGAATCAGCCTCTAAGATCAACGTTTTACTTCAAGTGTATATTTCAAAATTTAAGACAGAAGGATATGACCTGAATGCAGATATGGTTTACGTAACCCAGAGTGCAGGAAGAGTCATGAGAGCACTCTTTGAAATCTGTCTCAAGAAAGGATGGTCCCAGCTTTCACAATTGCTTATGAAATGCTGCAGGATGGTAGCGATGAGAATGTGGCCAACCATGACTCCATTAAGACAGTTTGGTGTTCTTAGAGAAGAAATTTTAAGAAAAATTGAGAAGAAAGAGCAGTTCAGTTGGGAGCATTTTTATAATATGGATCCTCATGAAATTGGAGAGTTGCTTAGGTTCCAGAAGATTGGAAAAGATATTCACAAGCTTGTACACCAATTCCCAAGGGTTGAACTTAAAGCCTTTGTACAACCAATTACAAGGACTTGTATTAAAGTTAGTTTGGAAATAATTCCTGATTTTGAATGGAATCCTAAATTCCATGGATACGCTCAAACATTCCATATTCTTGTTGAAGATGTTGATGGTGATATGATCTTGCATCATGAGCTTTTTGTTCTGAAAGAGAAGGATGTGAATAATGGTATAAATCACACTTTATCTTTCATTGTTTCTCTGAGTGAGCCTCTTCCTCCAGTGTATTTTGTTAGGTTGATATCTGACAAATGGATTAGATGTGAATTCCTTCTCCAAGTTTCATTCAGACACTTTATCTTACCTGATAAATTCCCACCCCAGACAGAAAAGAAAGACTTGACACCGATTGAAATCTCTGAATGCGAATGGAACCCTGCAATAGGGTTCTTCTCTGAGAGATTCAAGACATTTAATCCAATACAGACACAAGTATTTAATGACTTCTACAAGAGTGATGAGAATATATTCCTTGGAGCTCCAACCAGTTCAGGGAAGACAGCTATGGCCGAACTCGCCATCCTGAGGCAGTTCAGAAAGCTAACACTTTCTGAGGAACCTGATGACCTTGCAAGCGGAAAGATAGTCTATGTGGCGCCTCTACAATCGATCGTAGATATTGTATATGAAGAATGGACTGAAAATTTTGCAAAAATTATAGAAGACATCTCTGTTGTAAAGCTTACAGGAGTAAATACCAATGATATTAAGCTTCTTGTTGAAGGAAATATTATCATGGCTACTGCAGAACAGTGGGATGTCATCTCAAGAAGATGGAGAAGCAGAGCTAATGTTAGGAGAGTTTCTCTCTTTATTGTCGACGAGCTCCATCTTATTGGAGAACACAAATCTCAAATGGAAGTTATCGTCTCGAGAATGAGATATATGGCACATGAGATCAATAGAAATATCAGATTTATTGGCTTAGCTTCCTCTATTGCCAACTATACAGTTTTGGCTGATTGGATGGGAGCGACTAAGGCTTTCAACTTTATGCCAACTGCAAGGCCAATTCCTTTGAACATTTATATCCAAAGCTTTGATCACAACATTCAGGAAGTAAGGATGCTGGCAATGGGTAAACCTGTTTACAACGCTATTAAGAAAAACTCCGAAGACAAGCCAGTGATGGTGTTTGTACCTAGTAGACAGCAAGCTAGGCTAGTAGCACTTGACTTGATCTCTTCTGCTACAAATGATAACCAAAAGGACATCTTCAGGGGAGAAGACCATGACCAAATTACTAAATATTTGAAAGTCATTAAAGAAGAAATTCTCAAGCAAGCTCTTGAATCAGGAGTTGGATATCTTCATGAAGGGTTAGGCAAAAATGAAATTAAGGTTGTTAAACATCTATATGCTTTTGGAATGATCAGAACACTTGTGATTTCTCATAACTTATGCTGGGAAGTTGGAGACTTGAACTGCTTCTTCGTTGTTATCATGGATCCTGTTGAGTTTGATTACACTCTGAACAGATATGTTGAGTATCCAATTTCTGAAATCCTTCAAATGATAGGAAGAGCTGCCAGACACGACATTGATACTATCAGTAAATGAGCATTTATGTGTCATACTCCAAAGAAGAACTATTTCACAAAATTTATTGGAGAACCACTGCCAGTAGAAAGTAATTTAGAGGAGCACATCCATGAGGCCATTAATGCTGAACTTGCTGGAGGAAATCTATCCTCTCTCCAAGATATTATAGACTGGATTACTTGGTCTTTTATGTATAGAAGATTAGCCCAGAACCCTAATTATTACAATCTCAATGGGAAGACAGGAGAAGACATCAACGAGCATCTGAGTGAGCTTATTGAAAATACAGTCAGAGATTTAATAGAGTCTAAATGCATTGAGCAGAAGGATGATGATACACTTATAATCGATAATCTTGGAAGAATTGCAGCTTATTATAACATTAAGCACACCACTATTCAAGTCTTTGATGAAAATCTGTCTGAAACTAGAAAAATCAAGGGACTTCTTGGAATCCTCTCTTGTGCTGAAGAATTTGAAAATCTACCAATGAGAGATAGCGATGAAGGTCAACTCAGAGCTTTAGACAGATACATAGACTACCCAGTTGACCCAGAAGATGGAATTTACCTTTTCCCAAGAGTTAAAACAAACATTCTTCTTCAATGTCATTTCGAAAGGAAAAACCTGAGTATTGATTTGGGTCTGGATCAGAAGGAGATCCTTGAAAAGAGTTTAAAGCTTGTTCATGCTCTTGTCGATATTATCGCAACCTATAGTTGGTTCACTCCATGCCTCTACATGATGAGGCTCAGTCAGATGATTGTTCAAGGATGTTCTGCTAAAGATAGCAATCTGTACCAGATTCCTCATTTCGATTATGATCTCGTTGAGAGATGTAAAAGCAGTGGAATTGAAGATATTGGAGACCTCCTCGAAATGGAGGATGAGCCAAGAGAGAAGCTACTTAATCTCACTCAGAAACAGCTGAAAGAAGTCGCTCAAGTCTGTAACAAGATTCCTAGCTACGAAATTGAGGCAAGTGTCTTAGAATTCGACCCAGACAGCGGAGATGTCATTGTTAATGTCAATATTCAAGGAGACGATGAAGCTGAGGGTGAAGAAGATGAGGAAGAAGAAGGAGATAGCATAGTTTATGCTCCAAGATACCCTAAAGAGAAGCTTGAACAATGGTGGATTATCATCGTAGACCCTCGTGATAGAAAGTTACTTTCTATAAAGAGAACTGATGTGAAGAAGAACCATAATGTCAAGATCCAATTCACTCTTTCTGACTCTGGCAATAGAGACTATGAAGCTCAGATAATTTGTGATTCTTATATTGGATGTGATGAATCTGTCAGCTTTTCAGTTGAATAATTGAGCAAAAGAATAACGCTTTCAATCAGATTTAAGCTTGATGGGGTTTTGGGGTTTTGGGGTTTTGGGGTTTTGGGGTTTTGGGG